CAGCAGTTTGGCTGCCTCTTTTTCAAACCCATCAATACTCATTAACTGCTTTATATCACACTCATCCCACTGACTTCATGGGATTGTTCCACATTTGCAGGACCAGCTGAGTGAGCTCTGACAGTCACAGTCAGAACAAATTTGTTTCTTCCCTATTCACCACCCACCCACACCCGCAGGACAGAAGAAAACTGGTGCTTGTGCACCAGCAAGATGAGAGGAGAGAACCATATTGACCCAAACACTGCCTTCCCTCAGCAGAAGAGGTGCACCTCATAATTCAGTGCAGCATGCACTTGCCCACTGTGTACACCTGCTACACATAACCACAAAGCTTCAAACATAGATCTCTTGGCTTGTTCATTTTCCATAATATCTAACTTGGTATCTGAAGGGGGCCTACAAGGATGCCAGAGAGGGACTTTTCCGTCAGGGATTGTAGTTATAGGACAAGGGGCAATGGGTTTAAACTGAAACAGGGGAAGTTCAAGTTAGATATAAGGAAGAAGTTCTTTTTTGTGAGGGAGGCGAGGCACTGGAACAGGTTGCCCAAAGAAGTTGTAAATGCTCCATCCCTGGCAGTGTTCAAGGCCAGGCTGAATAGTCTTGAGTGACATGGTTTAGTGTGAGGAGCCCCTGCCCATGGCGGGGGGGTTGGAACTAGATGATCTTAAGGTCCTTTCAAACCCAAACCATTCTACGATTCCATGATAATTCTGCTTTGCCATCCAGAAGGGAACAGACTAATTAGTGAAAGCATGAATTTTCACATTTCAAAGATGTTCTTGAATTTAAATAAATATTAGTCTTTATATTTCTAAATTGAGCAGAAGCTTTGAAATGGAGCAGTTCTGCTGCCAGCCTCAGTATTTTAAGGCTCTCAGGAGTCAAAAGTGCTTAAGCGATCTCTAATTTTAAATCATAGTTACAAAAAATATTTACTGAAGTACTGTGTTTCAGAGTTAATCTTATGAAATTCACAGACTTGGAGATAAAATGTATTTTTCACAGTTCTATGCTGTTTTCTCGGTTCTATTTTGATCTTTCTGGTAGCCTGCCCGGGTAGCAAGTAGACAACTGAAATTGATAAATCAGAAAGTGTAATCATTGCCCAAATGAGGAAAGCGTTAGTAGAAGTCTGAATGTGATCAGGAAGAATTTTTTTTTCTTTTTCCTTTGGACTACAGCAGCAGTATGCATTCTTAGCAGTAAAATGCCAGCCATGTTTTCAGGAAGTCACATGCCAGGTTACAGTATGTGAAAAGAAGATGTCTCTGTCAAACATGCTTAGGTCCAAAATTGGACAGAGATTAAATGTAAAACCCATGACTCCAGTGGTGGGAAATTCGAACACTCCTAGGGGTACAATCTTTACAAAAGGTATATAGAGAAGATCTGTAAACTCAGCTTTCATTAGTATCTCTGCAGCATCATTCAGCAAACCTCAACTATCCCCTCCAGGTAGGGTAAAGTAATTGGTAAATCTTGTGTAAAAGTAAATTATGTGTTTCAGGTAATATTTGTTTTATAAAAAAGGAGGCAGAGTAGAGAGAAAGTTCTAACAAAATCCACGATACTAAGCAAACAGTTCTGTTTTGTCCCTGAATTTCTTTCTGGAAATGAGCCATAAGTTTGTCCTTTGTTCTAAAAGAGCCAGATAAGGTTAGATTTCTACCCACATTATCCTAGCAAAGGGGCTTATATTCAAGAGATTGACAAGTTGTCCTGCGTTCAGCTACAGCAGTCATTTTTTCTCCTCCTTAGTAGCTGGTGCGGTGCTGTGGTTTTGACTTTCAGCCTGGGAACAACGATGATAAAACTGATGTTTTTAGTTGTTTCTCAGTAATGTTTACTCTGACCAAGGACTTTCTCAGTCTCATGCTCTGCCAGGGAGGAGGGGAAGCCGGGAGGAAGCAGAGACAGGACACCTGACCTAAACCGGCAAAAGGGGTCTTCCGTACCATGGCACATCATGCCCAGATGTGCATCATGCCCCCAAACTGGGGGGAGTTACACGGAAGGCCCAGATTGCTGCTCAGGTCGGGCTGGGTATCAGTCAGCGAGTGGTGAGCAATTGTATCCTCTCCCCTTGTTATTTCCCCCAACATTATTATTATTGGTGGTAGCAGTAGTGGTTTGTACCTTAGTTACCTTAGTTGTACCTTAGTTACTGGACTGCTCTTATCTCAACTCGTGGGAGTTACATTCCTCCAATTCTCTTCCCCATCCCTCCAGGAGAGGGGGAAAGAAGAAGTGGGGGGAGTGAGCAAGCGGCTGTGTGGTTCCGAGTTACTGGCTGGCCTTAAACCACGACACAAGTAATTGCTCCAGTGGAGGAGAACTGTAAATCCCGCACCCCAGTTTCTCCTCCTCCTCCCTCAGAGCAACCCAGCCTCTAGAGTTTGTTGAAATCTGGTCTACCAATCTCAGAGGTCTTAGAGTTCTTGATCTCAAGTGCGGTCTCCAGTGAGGTGACAAAGCCCTCTAAAACCCACCTCTATGGCTAGTTTTCTTCTAGACAGATCATGTGTAATGCATCAACCTCTGGAGCACTAACATATCACCATCTCTTTTTATGTGGCTATTTTTGGAGTTCAGATCTGAATGTGGCCCTTTGTCCCTCAGCTATCATTTTGCTGATGAGATAAGAACATTTTTATTCTGTGCCTTGCTTATTTAAATGTCAACTCTTTAAATCAGAAGCATCCCTCACCATGTGCATAAATCTGATAAAGCATCAAGGGGAATGGAAAAATGGGAGCTCTAAACACAGTGAAAATGAGAGTAAAACTATACATCCTGTGTACCAATGCATTCTTAATTGCTATTGTTAGAATACGATGTTCTGTGAACTTTATTGCTATAGACTAGCTATCCTAAAAATCTCTTGACTTTTTAAATGATGTGGCTAGGAAGAAGATTTCTCCCACTGTGAATGGAGACAATTTTGAATATGGAACAGAATGGTATAAGATGGATATTCAGAAACTCATGGAGTCAACTTTCCGTACACACAGATCAAATCATTAAAAAATGCCAACTTCTGCAGTATCAACACCTAGTCATTACTGCACTATTTATAATGGGATATTAAGCTTTAGTTATGTTATTGTCTTAGGCTACATAAACCACCAGGAAAGGAGAGAATAAATAAGGTTCTTGCAGATTGCTTAATTGTAGAAAACAGGAGGCTGTAATACTCACAGTTTTGCTTTGCAAGGAAATTTCATGGTTGAAAGGTGGTGAGATGAGTTGGGGGGGAAACAAGGCCCCAGTTAGCATTAGTTAGTATGGCCCCAGTAGACCATTAATCAGTATGGGAATCACTGGGACAAAGCCTCAGCCTTGGTAAACTCACAGACCTCTACTGAAACGAGCAGGTCACACAGTGTGAACTGCTCTAACTCCACTGAAACAAGCTGCTTGTCACTACCTGGGGATTTTGGTCCTGTTTTTAGAACGAGGAGGGTTAAATACAGGTCATGTACTTGTTCACAAGAGCTAAAACTTGCCAAGTTTGTGCTGCTAAGGGCTATCTGCTTTCCGGCATGCGAGCTTGAGGAGGTGAGATAGATATATGACCTTACAGTGCTGATTCAGAAGCTGACTCTTGCCAAAGTCAAGGGCAGTGCTAGCAGTAACATCCACCTTGCGTGTACTGTTTAACAGAAAAGGAGCTTAAAAACCTAGCATGTCCATTCTAAGCATCTTGTAATAATGTTTCCTAGACCATGGTGACCTACTGGAGAGAAGAACGGGTAATATCATCTGCAAGGCGCTTAAAGACCTGACACTCACCAGCTCCACCCGTACAGGAAGGGCAGTAGGTCTGGTTGTCTCCCTATGTGAGCAGGGTGGGATCTGTGGGCTGCCTGAGGGAAGAATCTAATAATTTGGCCTGCAGACACAATAGTTAGCAAAAACTCACTTGCAAAGAACTAAAGGAATTGCAAGCAGTTGATGGTTTATTTTCCATTGCTATGAATGGCTTTAATGGCTTACAGAACCTGTAGTTCTGTCTTACTCATGTTTCTCACTGCAGAAATTGGGAATCTCATTACCCAATACACGGATGTGGGCTGTGTGTTCCTCCAACTAATACAGTACATGCAAACTACAGCAAAACCTAGGTTAGACTAATAGTGAGACTACTTTCAGCTTCACCACTTATGCCTGTTGCAGAATGTTGGAAAGGTTGTCTTCATCTCCCATTCCTTCACTGGCCTTTCAAACCCTTCTGCTGTCTTGTCTCTGGGCTGTAAAAGAATTGAATCTTTGATTTCTTCCTTGCACAGATGAGCCTGTAAGGTTAGAGTTCCCCACAACCTTATTTGAGTGGAACATATTGCCTCTCTCCCACCAGCCTGACCTTCCAACACCTGCTTAACAGTAAAATAACTGAAGTCAAACTGGGAGCAGAACTAAACCAGACAGGCATGGTTGCTCATGGCAAATGCTTTTGTTTTACAGAGAGATTCAAAATTTCTGCGACTCCCGAGCCTGGCTGGGCATCTTCTGCCTGGAATCCTTGGCCTCACCACTCTCTCAAAACTATTCTTCAGGTTATCATAGAGTAAGACATTCCCATTCAGTAATATTCCTGCATTAGTAACAGGGTTACCAGAAATCCATTTATTTGTTTTTACTATATTTCCACTTTAAAGCTGAGGGGCCTTGCACCACATTAATGTATTTGGCTACAGGTCCTGCACAGGCATACAAACCCCAGATAAGCTAAAACTGGTTTTCTTTCTTTTTTGGTTTTTTTTTTTAACCCTCAGGCAATATTGTTATGTCCACCTTCTAATCTTTTATTGAATGTCAGAGTTATCACACTGATAACTTGACTCACTGTCCATTTAATATTGGTTTGACTACTGATAAAGTAATTACACCATTTGACATAGGGAAGGACAGGCTGAGGAAGTTGGAGTAATTTGATGCTAAAACACACTACACATTAAGATGTATCATGTTGGTTGCTACAAGTACATACTTACTGTGGTCCAACCGACCTGCTGACCCAGGTCTGTAAAATACAGTGTAATGATGGAGGAAACGGCAAGGCTTTGAATGCTAATAGAATCCTTCAAATAGGGCCCATCTGTAATGACGAAAAGGAAAGAGGAGATGTCAGGAACAACAGGCATTCTCTCAGAGGCTGAACATAACACATAGGCTGCCCTGTAACTGTCAAGGTGTAGACCCAGCTTGTATTCCAATTTATTTTGGTGGCTTGGTACTTATTCTCCAGGTTAGCAATTTGTAACATTTCTATTGGAGTATTCTGCTCTCATTTTAACAAAAGCATTAGGCTGACATGGCATTGGGCAGCAACACATAGCAATTGTTATGGTGCTATCTCTGTTAATCTAGGCCATTAGAAACATGCCATGCAATCACACAGACAATTTCATAGAGCACTTTTTGTTCTGTCTTGCAAGACTGATGGGAAAATCGATGTTATGCAGTGTCTCTCTCACTGGTATCTTTTGCTGAACCATTTGCATTCTCAAGCTATTTTACAATAGGTGGTACTATCATGGTGAATGCAACTTCTTGGGCAAAAGACCACAATCCATAATTTCTTGTGTGAGCAGACTGACCTAGGCAAACCATGTATATATATATCTGAGCATTACATTACATTTCACAATATTCTGATGTATTTACTACCAGTCATGATGGACCCAGAGTGTTCAGGCAAAGACATAAAATGGCAATGCCGTTGAGCTGGATATTGGGAAACCCCAGCTGACACTTTATGTATTGTGTCTCCCTTTCAACGTATGTTTGGTGGCTGTTTAAGTCAGTGAGGGTGCTAAACTCCATCACATGCTGAGCCATCACAGAACAAATGCCACACAACCCATGGAAGCTTCACCTCCCACTACCATGTCCACCAAGAAATGGTGTAGTGGCAATACCAGTTGCATCTTCTGATGAAGCTGTGAGCAAGTGTTAAAAGGGATAATGCAGTGAATGAGAGAAGTCAGTAAACGGTTGTAAAACTGACTTGTCTTCGTTATTTGATCATATACTGTATCCTGACGCATTTTTACTCCGTGGTTATGAAAACCATCAGATTCCATTATTAATGAGAAAGCTAATAAGTAAACCATTGATATTAATCAATGCAAAAGTCCTAACAATTCACCAAATAAAACATGGAGGGAAACCAATACTATTAGAAGAACTTGCCAGAGGATTAGTAATGCATTAGGTGGCTGTATTCAACCATATGAATACTTACTGCGTTCTAGTTGCAGGCCAACACGGGAAGGGTACCACTGGGGACCTGTTAAAATCACAAAGCATGGCTGTTAATTTCATGGTGGAGGATCTAAGTTTCTCTTTCTATTAGTATTCTTTTCACGTGATTGCTACAAATGTGAGGTAAACAAAAAATCCTCTCTTTCAGTCTCCACTATACAAGGAGAATACAAGAGAGCTAGGAGAAGCACACAATACACATACTGAAGCAGAAGTCCCCTCTCCCTACTCGTGTGTCGGAAATGCCAATCTCAATGCTGAATGCTCCACCAGCACACAAAAAGTGGGGATGTGTGTGCACCACTGGGAAGTATAAAGATGACCCTATTTATTAGAGTATTTCCCAAAACTTTATAATAAATGTATCAGTCTTATCACCACCCCCAGCCACTTCTACATTTGCTTGGTTTCCTTTGATACACCTTAGGATAGTCGATAGCCTGAAAGAGATTTACTTTGTCTTTTCAATTCAAAGTCTGGGTGAAACTGGTCAACTACAGCCACGGTTTCCTTTAGACCTCTTTTACAATTGTTACTATTCCTGTATACCAGTATTCCTATATCTTAAACAAATGGAAAAAAATTCTTCACGATGACTGTGATCAAACATGGGAACATTTGCCTGAGAAGCTGTGGGATATTCTTCCCTGGATATAGTCAGGCTTCAGCTGTGGAAGACCCTGTGCAATCGTATTGGTCTTGAAAGTTGACCCTGCTCTGAGCAGGAGCCTGGTCCAGATGAACTCCAGATGTTGCTTATACCTTAACTATATTTTGGATGATGATGAGAGACTGTTGACCCCACCAGCTGCCAGTGGGAGGGGAATAGGAGCTGTACACAGTGTGCACTACACCCACTGTACTGTGGCAGCCAGCACACTTTCATTTCAGAAGCACTTGGTCTGAGTTTTGTAGGCAGGAATAGGCACTAGATGAACCCATGAACCAGGGCTAATGGCAGAGGCAAGATATCCATCAAATAAGTCACAAACCTTTTTTTTTTAAGGTATTACAACAATCCATGGCTATTAAGGATAAAAAAAGGAAGACAGAGAAAGAGCAGCTGTCTGACTTGTCAAGGAAGATATGATTTGCTCCAGGACAGCAGATATCAATAGTTATTTAGAAGCCTGAAATGCAATGTACTTGTGTTAAATTGGAATCTTCTCCTCAGCTCTCCCCTCCCCATATTACACTATGTTTCAATAAAAGCCAATTTACCTGATCCTGTGGCAATGTGCTTTTAGGTATGGCTCATAACCTTCACAAGGGCAAACAGAGGTTGTGCGTTTCAGCACGTCATCACACATTTCCAGTCCTTTAGCCTCAGTACACCATTATGTTCAAGCGTACTCAAAGATTTAGACTGATGGAACTGTGCCTTTGCTGCCGCTTCTCTGCAGTGACCTTATTATCACATCACTGTGTCTCTCTGGTTTCCAGACCACCCTTTGGGTGCTGCGTGTATTTTGCTGGAGGGACCTGGAATTATCTGTTGGGATAGTCCTTCCCAGCTCTTGTTATTGGTGGGGGGCCACTAGCTAACATCAAATGGAAATGATACGCAAATGGAGTAGGGGACAAAGTCCAAATGCATCTCTTTTTGTAAGCATGTTGGGTTTAGTCTGAACATGAAAGTTTCTCATTTTCAGTCTTTATGGCAGCAGACTTTAGCAAGGCTCTTCCCAAGTCTTAGCTGTCTGGGTTCCTGCAAAAAACAATGTTGCTTTCTGGAGACAAGTGTGACCCCACTTTATTTGTCAGATCTCAGAGACTCATCAGCCTGATGAGACTCATTTGGTAGAGAGGAAACCCCATACATTCCTAAGCATCAAAGATTTTCCTGATCATCACTTGACAGCAGTCAGCCAAGGGGACTGTGGCCCCACTTGTCAGCATTTTTCTGCCTTCCTCCTGTGACTGTTTTCCATGGGGATCCTCCAGAGCTCTCACTAGGATAGCTCTGGATTTCCATTTGGCAATGAGGGAAGCCATTCCAAACCAGCCTGTCTCTGGCAAACATACATTCATGTCATTCCTATAGAAAAAGAGGTCTCCTTTCTTTTAATAGTGAAAAGAAGCCAAGCAACTAATTATCACCTGTATTAATTCTTGCTAATACCTGTCAGAATAAGGGGTTGATGGCTCTCTTGGATACCTAGAGGCAGCACCAGGCAGATTAGCTTAACCTGCCATCAGCAATAGTATAGAAGTGCATGTGGAGAGTGCATGCTCCCAGATGCAGTAAACAAGTACTCACTAAAGGTAGAAACACAGATGCAGTTGTGTGCAGCACTCCAAGGCTTGTCTGAGCTCCACACCTGGCAAAGCTCCCCTCATTTCCAATCTAATCTAATGAGTGTTTCTCGTTTCCAGATTTTATTCATTAACAATTTCCATTGGTGCGTCCTGCAGAGAATAATGGCAGTCCAAGACCATGGGTGACTGAAGTTTATCTTGTTGTATCTAAGATCAGGCATGTATTATTATTTACTTTCTGACATTGTAATAGTGCATCAGAGCTCAGCCACATGGTATTAAGTAGATCACAGTCCCTGTATAGTCCTTGTGATCAGCAGAGCTGTTCAGTTCCCTTAAGCAGGGTTACAGTTTTGGCTATGTATTTCATAATTGGAAAAAGTTGCAAAAATAACATTTCAGCCCACTTATACCACAGACCAGTTTTGACTTGAAAAAGCAGATATAGACTTGACCATAAAATAATGGTTCAAACAAGCATTGTGGTTCAAACAACAGCTCTATTTAGCCAGTATTATATTCTCTGATATTTAGCCAATATTGTGGGTCCTCCATCCTTAGATTTCTGAGTTTGTGTAGAACAGCTTCGGTTCCTTTCTTTGCAGTGTGTTTGGACAGCTATTGAAATGTCATCCTGTTATTCCATCTCCTATTTGATTATTTCTACCCTCCTGACTTATCCTTCTCTTGATGTTTGTCTTGGTCTTTTAATACGGCCACCCCTCAACTTCATGCACACAGGCACCTGAAAGCTTTGCCCATTCCTCACAAATGCCTTGATTTTAAGTGACATCAACATCATTCCTCTTCACTGAGCAACCTGATCTAGTGAAAGATGTCCCTGCCCATGGCAGGGGGGGCAGACTAGATGATCTTTGAACATCCGTTCCAAACCAAACTGTTCTACAATTCTACAATTCATACAGTTATATGTTCAGATAATACTTATTCCAAGTGTACAGGCTTCATTTAGTCCAGAAGTCTTAAACCCTTTATATCCACCTTCTCTGTCAGAAATCTGTTCTGACTTTGTGGAAAAACTCCATGCATTTACTTAAAAACTGTTAAAATATTTTAATGCTATTACCTTTAAAGCATCGTATTTTTTCAACACAGGAGAGTATTTTCTTGGAAAGTGACTCAATATTCATTTTTAATAATCTGTTTTAAAAAATGGATATGAGGAAAAATATTTGATTTTGGATGGGTTGTACCTGCTACTATTTAAAATAAAAATTAAAACATAAGCAAAGTGATAGGATATATAAAAACTGACAGCCACCTTGAATTTGACCATACTCAAGTATGAAATCACCTATTGATACTGGATATAAAAAGGAGATGCAGTACTGTTAAATAACCATACAAATGTTTGCTACAATGACAGTCTCAGTCCCGCGCCCAGCTACCGATACCACTATGCGAAGACGCACAAAACCCCAAGTTCTATTGGTCCCACTGCTCACACAGATTGTTTTTTCACTGCATTTATACTAGAATTTCAGTAAATGAATAGGCTGTCAATCACAGGACCTGAGGACAGTTTTAAAAGCCCATATGCAGTTCTAAAGTGTCCAAAGGTACTGTCTATCCACATGATTCAAACAGAGTTGACAGACACAATTTGGAGATAATTAGCATATTGACTTTCCACAATCAGCTAATTTTGTTATCAGTTAAATTGTTTGCTTCTCATTGTATTTCAGCACCCATGCATCTGTAATGACAAATAGCTTTAAATAATTACAAGCAATACTCTCTGTGATATGAATAGGATGATATGAACAACAAAATAACTATAATCAACAGTAGCAAATTTAAATCTGTTTTTAAGTTTAAATTTTAAACTTTGGGGTTTTTTTTTAGTTTTAAAGTTTAAATTTGTAGAAATATGGACAATTCTGAGGACCACTGCAGCGCCAGTATCCCTTATGTGATCACAAAATGTTACTGAGAAATGTAATAGCATTTGGTTGTGTGAACTGAGCACGGCTGAAGCACATTCCATCACTTTAATCAGATGTTAGTTCTGTTATCTATGTCGCATTAAGAAGAGGTTACTAGGAAAGATTCACATATTAGTATGTGTGGCGATGGTGTCTTTAGACAGGAAAGCTTCTGAGAAAATGGGGATAGAGATACTGCCATGCTTACAGTTGTAGCCCTTGCTGGACTGAAGTTTGCACACCCTTGCTTCACTGAGCTGACTGCAGAAAAGTGGGATGCTGAAACGACTTGAAGATGTTGCTTTCTGCTTTTATTTGGAAGAAAGGGCTGTGAGATTTATTGTGCTATCATTGCACTTGAATGATTCCTGAGCATGATGGCAGTAAGCAAAGCACACCTAAAAAACCACAGTAAAACTAAGTTGGGCCATAAGATGAAGAGAGAAAATATCTGAAGCTATTAATTACTTTTTTTGCCTTCACTGCAATAAGTGACAGCCACTGAATACTGCAATCTGAATGGCTGGCCCACTTGAAAAATTGCAGCAGTAAGCCTGGGGCAAGCAAGGCCCCACTTGAAAGGCCCTTTCTGGCCACAGACCTAAAGATGTTTTTTTGCTTTGACCCACTAAATGCCAGCACAATCACCTGGGTCTCTTTTTTCAGGGCTGTAGTGCTGAGACACCAGCTCTAGCCAGGCCTCTTTCATCTACTGACCAGCTATATTGGCCTGGCAACATACTGAGCTCCTGAGCCCAGGAGTGCTTGTAGGGCCACCAACTCTATGTTGCTTCCAGCTCTCACTAAGCCTTTAGGGCAC